TGTCGCTGGTGGGTAGAGTTAACATACATATACTTGAAACAGCTAAACTGCTGGTTTTAGAGACTATGGCATGATCTATAATTCCAGGGGCATTTAGAAAGGAAAACAAGCAAAATGCCCAATTAGGAAAGATTAATCTGGGCTTGGTGACTGGGGTAGTATTTCTAGGAGGAGTACACAAAGACTAATTTACTCACATTTTCATTTGAGCCTCATAACCTTTAAACAAAAACCCATCTTATTATATTTTGGTATACTTTTTGAAGTCATGTAAGCAAACACAAGTTTGTGTTTAGTTTTACTTATGAATCTGTTCGATCTGGTTTTTATACCTAAAGTAGATTTAGAAGTTTAAAACCAATTCTGCTTGCATGAGTAAGGGGAAAGTAGTTTGGAATGTTTTAAAAATACATATGATCACATTCTCAAAACACATTTCCCCCAAACACAGTTGAAATCCTAAATCTTAAGTAGAGTTGCATCAAACCTTTAGAGGTTGTTCACATGAAAAATCTGCCATTGCAACATGAAGGTCAGGCAAACACTTGGACAAGGAAGTGCCTGCTTCACCTCCAAATACAAATGTCACTTCAGCAAAGAAAAGGGAGGGGAGAGATGTGCAGACTTGGGGCTACCAGTTCCCACTAAAGCACTATGAATGCAATGATTGCCCGTAATATCTTAGGTCTTCTAGCAATAAGGAATACAAGCACGGGTAAGGGATGGAGTGGGAAAATGAAGGTAGCTGAAAAGCTTGGGGGGCAGGGCGGAGAATGTGGGCGACTATTGCCATTTTTTATGAAAGAAAAAACTGAAATATATAATTTAAGATAATAAGTGGTTAAATGCAAGTAAACTCCTAGCAAATTACAGTCCAAGTGAATAGGGCTTATCCTTAACTTAAATAATGTTTATAAAGCAGTAACAATTCAAATAAAGGCAAGTGAACTAAGTATTCTGGAATTAAAATAAAATCTAATCTGCTAACACACAATCACCTTCCCCAAATTCTACTCAGGCAGAAATTCGGTATTTACTTAGACAGCTGGTACACATGTAGGTAGGGGCACTGTGGACACTGTGGATACCATCTCAAAAAGGCCACTGGTGATACATGTGCAAGCCTTATTCCTCTCCTCTGTCTTTTCATAACCGGCATTTAAATTTTTTAATTTTTTATTATTGTGCTCAGATGTAGCTAATATATTAGTAGCTACATTATGAACCAAGACCAGTATTGAAATTAATAGCTTTTCTTGGGGAAAAAAGCATGATGATATGCTTTTACAGTTAAGAATTCAGTTTTAAAACCCAGGGATAAGGGAACAACAAGTGATCCAAAATCAGTGGCAAGGAGGGTGTAGAAGGTCTGGTAGGGTAGGGCTGGATCAAGGACAATGTAACCGAAAGGAAATCCTGAAACCCAAATGAAGGCTGAACATGATAGTGGGACAAGAGTAAGGTAAAAAGAAATAGAGTAAAGAACTAGGAGGCAAAGGGCATTTATAGAGATCTAAATACAGGCATATA